GAAACCCGTCTGAGCATTTTCTTGACCTTTTTATGTAATTAGTACAGCGGCTTGAGTTCTACTAATCATGTAATGATTGCTTTTAGAATGAATACAAATGTAATTTTTAGGAAATCCAGGAAAAAAATAATCTTATCAAGAAAATCCAAGGGAAAACAGAACAGTAATAGAAATACAAATATAGCAACATGGCAAGATAAGTCCACAAAATTTACTTACAGTGTACATACTAGTGATAAAAAAATTAAACAGCCAAGCATATTGTTTTTAAACAGTAATTTTTAAAGATGACAGCAATAAAGAATGTTAAAGATTGATAATTTAATGTAGCAAATTAGAAGTTCATTCAAAGAATTAAAAGACAGTTTGATGGTGACCGGTCATGGTGGGTCACACCTGTGATTCAGCACTTTGGGAGGCGGGCGGATCATTTGAGGTCAGGCATTTGAGACCAGCCTGGCCAATGTGGCGAAACCCCGTGTCTACTAGAAATACAAAAATTTGCCAGGCGTGGTGGCGCACTCCTGTAGTCCTAGCTACTCAGGAGGCTGAAGCCAGAGAATCACTTGAACCTGGGAGGTGGAGGTTTCAGTGAATCAAGATAGTGTCACTGCACTGCAGCCTGGGACTGTCTCAAAAAAAAAAAAAAAAAAATTACGTTGCAAGTCAGTATAAACACTTAAAATATCATTTAAATTACAGCGTTACATTAGTTATTCTAGAAAACCAAGGATACAAATATACCATATAATTTTTTTGTGAGGGGGTAAAAAGCAGGAATTTGTGAAGCGGGGAGGCTTCTAAATCCAGCAGACTTTTAAATATATTCTGAAATGAAAGTCATAACACTTGAGATTTGTGTAAAAAATGAAAATATTGAACAGTGAAATAAACCATGGATTTCAGAAATAGATATAGTTTCTCAGAAGCAAGTTACATGACAACTGGGAAGACGAGGGGAAGCGAGGTCGTGCTTTACTAACTTTTAATGATGATGACAAATGTATAGAGTTAATTTTAATTCTGTTTCATACCATGCACCGTACATTCCAGTCAAATCAAAGAACTAAACATGAAAATATTGGAAAGAAAGTAGATTAGGATATGGGCTGGGTATGGTGGTTAATGCCTATAATCCCTGCACTTTGGGAGGCCAAGGCAGCTGGATCACTTGAGGCCAGGAGTTCAAGACCAGCCTCGCCAACATGGTGAAACTCTGTCTCCACTAAAAATACAAAGATTAGCCAGACACGTAGTGGTACTTTCCTGTAATCCTAGCTACTTGGGAGGTTGAGGCAGGAGTATCGCTTAAACCAGGAGGCAGAGGTTGCAGTGAGCCGAAATCCCGCCATTGTTCTCCAGCCTGGGAAACAGAGCAAGACTGTCTCAAAAAAAAAAAAAAAGCTGGGTGTGGTAGTGCATGCCTATAATCCCAGCTACTTGGGAGGCTGAGGCTGGAGGATCACTTCAACCCAGGTGGCAGAGGTTGCAGTGAGATCACACCACTGCACTCCAGCCTGGGTGAGAGAGAGAGAGTCCATCTCGGGGGTAAAAAAAAAAAAAAAAAAAAGGAAAGTAGATAAGGATACTATTTCAGGTGTGAGGGAGACTAAAATTGAACTATTAAACTGTTTTGCCTGGGCAGGGTGGCTCACACCTGTAATCTTAGCACTTTGGGAGGTCAAGGCAGGAGGATCACTTAAGCCCAGGAGTCTAAGACCAGCCTGGACAACACAGTGAGATGTTATCTTTATATATTTTTGAAAAACGAGAAAAAAAACTAAAAAACCAAAAAAAAAATTTTTTTTTTTTTTTTTTTTTAAGGCAGATTCTGCCTCTCTTGTTGCCCAGGCTAGAATGCAATGGTGTGATCTCAGCTTACTGCAGCCTCCTCCTCCCGGGTTCAAATGATTCTTCCGCCTTAGCCTCCTGAGTAGCTGGGACTACAGGTGTGCAGTACCATGCCTGGCTAATTTTTGTGTTATTAGTAGAGAGAGAGTTTCACCATGTTGGCCAGGCTGGTCTCGAACTCCTGACCTCAGGTGATCCACCCGCCTTGGCCTCCCAAAGTGCTGGGATTACAGGCGTGAGCCACTGCTCCTTGCCGAAAGAATTGTTTTTAATGACCATGTAAAAGGATTAATAGTATTAACTTTTTTTGTTGTTTTTTTTTTTTGAGACGGAGTTTTGCTCTTGTTATCCAGGCTGGAGTGCAATGGCGCGATCTCGGCTCACCGCAACCTCCACCTCCTGGGTTCAGGCAATTCTCCTGCCTCAGCCTCCCGAGTAGCCAGGACTGCAGGCACGTGCCACCATGCCCAGCTAATTTTTTGTAGTTTTAGTAGAGACGGGGTTTCACCATGTTGACCAGGATGGTCTCGAGCTCTTGACCTTGTGATCCACCCGCCTCGGCCTCCCAAAGTGCTGGGATTACAGGTGTGAGCCACCGCACCCGGCCTAGTATTAACTTTTTTAAAATCTGTGCAATAAAAAATAAAACTCAGGCAAAGTGAAGGCAAAAGTGGAAAGTCCTGAATATAAATAAGAGTTTAATATAGTGAAATATATGAACTTTACTAAAGGTAGTACCCAGGCTTTTATAGATGAGGGATCAATTTTAATTCATCCAAATGGCACATATATGGGTAACTAGTTGACAAGAAGTGAGGGCTTCAGTGGAGGTGATCACAAAGTGCCATGAATACTTTACCATTTTCACTGAGGGAACGAGGTGATTGCCCCGACCCCGAGTTTCCTGCCATTCTTTTAGAGTTCAGCCAGTCTGTTAGACTGCTGCATGCTTCCACAGGATATATGACACACCCTTGGCATGTGATGTCATTGGCCTGTGTAGATGTGGCAGCCAGTCCTGGGGGTTTGTTCTCAGCCTCATTCATGGACTTCTACTGTGACATCCTTATGAGAACCCTTGGGAGAAATTTCCTATTTTAGTGTCAGAATTTCACCTGAAGAATTAGTGTGCTTTCATCTTTTGAACCCTGAATTATATAACTGTTTTCATCTTAGTGATGATTGCTAAAAAGTTTAGCGATAGATGTATGGGCTGACTCTTTACTAATTTAGACATCTTCCAGGAAAACATTTCTGTCTTGTCATCTGTGGCTCTACTTTTGGTCTCTCTCCATGTTTAATTTTTTTGGTTTACTTCTATTAAAATTTTTTTTTTAATTTTCTAATATATATCTATATATATTTACTAGAGATGAGGTCTCACTATGTTGCCCAGGCTGGTCTTGAACTCCTTGGCTCAATCGATCCTCTCGCCTCTGCCTCCCAGAGCACTGGGATTACAGTCATTTGTTTTTCTTTTCTAGTCTGTTGTGCTGAACTGCATTTATCTTTTACATAGACTTTAAATATTATTTGGCAGAAAGTGAGGAATAAATACATATATTAAACCTATAGAATCAGTAAAACCAAATAAAAATGATCAAGCCCAGTGTTGTCAGGGCCATAGGGAAATAAGCACATACGTGTGGTTAATGGCAGTGTACACTGAGCTTCTGAGGAGTGTGGCTAGCAATAGATACCTAGAGCTATAAAGTTGTTTATTCTTATTAAGCAGTTAATGCCACTTTTGGAAATGTAGCACAGAAAAGTAACCCAAAAGGATATAGTCCTTACAAAATTATTTATAGCTACAGTGCACAATAGTGAAAGAGGGGAAGCAACCCAAATGCACAGTGGTAGAGGGTAGTCGAATAAGTCAGTTAATATAATGGAATGTCAGTTAATATTTGGAATGTACCAAAAATGATTCAGTAGATAAAGAGAAATGTCCATAAAATACGTAAATTATCAAAATAGGCTTTAAATCTATGTAAGAATATGTAGATATAGCAAAAAGAATGAGATGCTCATGGTGAGACAGCCAGGTGGAAAGTGGTCCCCAGAAAAACTACAACCAGGCTTCCCCCTGGGGTAGAGCTTCAGGAAGTTCACCCATTTGTAGCGAGGAGGAATGTGGCCCCTCTTCTTTCTCTGTGGAACCAGAGATTCTACCTGCTGGCGGGAAGCACTCTAGCAGGGACTCTGGACTTGTAAGTGTTCCATTTCCCCCTTTTCTTTCTTTTCACCTAATAAAACCCTGTCTTACCAATCAAACTGTCTGCGAGCCTAAATTTTTGTGGCCATGAGACGGACAAGGACCTCATCTATTTGTTTTTTTTTTTTTTTGAGACGGAGTTTCGCTCTTGTTGCCCAGGCTGGAGTGCAATGGCGCGATCTCGGCTCACCACAACCTCCGCCTCCTGGGTTCAGGCAATTCTCCTGCCTCAGCCTCCTGAGTAGCTGGGATTACAGGCACACGCCACCATGCCCAGCTAATTTTTTGTAGTTTTAGTAGAGACGGGGTTTCACCATGTTGACCAGGATGGTCTCGATCTCTTGACCTCGTGATCCACCCGCCTCGGCCTCCCACAGTGCTGGGATTACAGGCGTGAGCCACCGCGCCCGGCCATGTTTTTTTTTTTTTTTGAAACAGAGTCTCATTCTGTGGCCCAGGTTGTACTGCAGTGGCATGATCTCAGCTCACTGCAACCTCTGCTGCCCAGGTTCAAGCAATTCTGCCTCAGCTTCCCAAGTAGCTGGGATTATAGGCGCCTACCACCGCTCCTGGCTAATTTTTGTAGTTTTAGTAAAGACGGGATTTCACCATCTTGGCCAGGCTGGTCTTGAACTCCTGACCTTGTGATCCACCCTCCTAGGCCTCCCAAAGTGCTGGGATTACAGTCATGATCTACCGCGCCCAGCAGGACCCCATCTTTAGGTGAACTAAGGAAAAGCCCTGCAACAGTGGATATTGTAAATAATAATAATGGATAGGTTTTACTCCCCTGCAGGATTAATATAATCTGTGAGTACTTTTAGGCTTACTACTGGTACAAGGAGTGGCTTTCTTTTGGAAACTTCTTAGAATGTAGAGCTGTGCTTCTGCACTTTCTTCAACTACAAGTGGCCTCTTTGTTTCTTTGTTTCAGGACCTAAGCATTGAAGAACAGTCAGAGTGTGCTCAGGATTTCTACCACAGTGTGGCTGAAAGGATGCAGACTCGCGGAAAAGGTAACACTATTAGCCATTGGGAGATTGCGGGTATTGCACAGGAAAGAAAGAATTTCTTTCTTTCTCTGATGATCTGGCTGGTTTGTAGACTTCATGCCATAACCTCACTGACGTCCTGGGAGCTGATCTTATACTTAGCAGTGCCTTTGAACTGTACCGTGTGTATCAGGAGCAATTGGATAATTTATTGAGTAGTGTTTAGTAACTCCATTGGGGCAGGGGGTGGAGGAGACAAAAACCTCTTGGGGCCGGGCACAGTGGCTCACGCCTGTAATCCCAGCACTTTGGGAGACTAAAGTAGGCAATCAGTTTAGGCCAGGAACTTGAGACCAGCCTGGTCAGCTTGGTGAGACACCATCTCTACTAAAAATACGAAAACTAGCTGGGTGTTGGGGCGCACCCCTGTAATCCCAGCTACTTGGGAGGCTGAGGCACAAGAATCACTTGAACCAGGAAGGCAGAGGTTGCAGTGAGCTGAGATTGCACCACGGCACTACAGCGTGGGCAACAGAGTAAGACTCTGTCTCACAAAAAAAGAGAGAAAAAAACTTCTTGAAAGGCTTTTCTAAATGAATTTCCCATCTTGGAGTCACCATTTTGGTGAGTCATTGTATTAATAGTTAAAAAAAAAAAAAGTCGGGGGGTGGGTGCTTCAGGTTTTTATGGATTCTTTGTGAATTCACCCTCCACTGATAGTAGACTTTAGGATGTCCTTCGCATATGTGTGCATCTGAGAAGTCTGCCCCATATGTGTACCTCAGAGAGCTCTAAGGTGTATGGTAAGCCTCAGAGAAATGAAAGGGTATGTTTCATCAGCATTCGGCAGTCTTGAGAGTTGCAAATACCTTTTTTATTTTTTTTTTATTTTTTTTTTTTTTGACGGAGTTTCGCTCTTGTTACCCAGGCTGGAATGCAATGGCACGATCTCGGCTCACTGCAACCTCCGTCTCCCGGGTTCAGGCAATTCTCCTGCCTCAGCCTCCTGAGTCGCTGGGATTACAGGCATGTACCACCATGCCCAGCTAATTTTTTGTATTTTTAGTAGAGACGGAGTTTCACCATGTTGACCAGGATGGTCTCGATCTCTTGACCTTGTGATCCACCCACCTCGGCCTCCCACAGTGCTGGGATTACAGGCTTGAGCCACCGCGCCCGGCCCACAAATACCTTTGTAATGTAGTACGGGGAGTGACCTTGCTGAGGTCTCCCCATTTGGCAGGTGCACACTGTTAGGTCCTGCCAGATGACTTCAGTTAGAACTGAGGTTGCTGTGGAAGGCAGCCAAACAGTTGAAGTAAGGTTTTTTTTTTTTTAGTTGTTTGTTGTTGTTGAGACGGAATCTCACTGTATCACCCAAGCTGGAGTACAGTGGTATGATCTTGGCTCACTGCAACCTCTGCCTTCCGGGTTCAAATGATTCTCCCATCTCAGCCACTGAGTAGCTGGGACTACAGGTGCACCCCACCATACCCAGCTAATTTTTTATATTTCTAGTAGAGACAAGGTTTCACATGTATTTCTAATAAATTAGTTTTTTGCTGTGTAGAAAGTACTATGAAAATATACTCTTGGCTGGGCATGGTGGCTTATGCCTATAATCTCAGTACTTTGGGAGGCTAAGGCAGGTAGGTTGCTTGAGCCCAGGAGTTTGAGACCATCCTGGGCAACATGGTGAAAACCCCTACAAAAAAAAGTACAAAAATTAGGCATGGTGGCATGTGCCTGTGGTCCCAGCTACTTGGGAGGCTGAGGTAGGAGGATAGCTCCAGCCCAGGAAGTAGAAGTTGCAGTGAGCCAAGATGGTGCCACTGCACTCCAACCTGGGTGACAGAGCTAGGCCCTGTCTCAAAAAAATAACATATATATACTCTCTTGAGCTATTCTGTTTGATTATTTCAGTGCCTCCAGAAAGGGTTGAGAAGATAATGGATCAGATTGAAAAGTACATCATGACTCGTCTCTATAAATATGTGTTCTGTCCAGAAACTACTGATGATGAGAAGAAAGATCTTGCCATTCAAAAGAGGATAAGGTAGTTGCTTATTTTGTTTTGCTTTATACTTACTACCTGCTAGTGGAAGAACTCATTGGGGGAAAATAAGGCACCTGAGTTTCAAACCTTAAGAGAAAGCAACAGCTCATGTTCCTGCCTCCTTAGAGTGGAAGCTGCTCTGTGGTGTCAGAAAGACGAGGAATGTGGTGACCTCTCTTATCCATCTGCTTCAAGGCAGCTTTTGGTAAGAGTTGTGTTTGGTGTTGGAGATTGTTTTAAATCTCTGAAATCTCCAAGGAATAGAAGGACTTGTTTTCTTGGTCCATTATCATGTCCTCAGGCAGGAAGCTGTGAATATCCATATCAAGGCAGTGTATGTCGGCTGGGCATGGTGGCTCACACCTGTAATCCCAGCACTTTGGGAGGCTGAGGTGGGTGGATCACTTGAGGCTAGGAGTTCAAGACCAGCCTGGGGAACATGGTAAAACCCCGTCTCTACTAAAAATACAAAAACTAGCCAGGCATGGTGGCACACGCCTGTGATCCCAGCTACTTGGGAGGCTAAGGCACAAGAATAGCTTGAATCCAGGAGGTGGAGGTTGCAGTGAGCCAAGATTGCGCCACCACACTCCAGCCTGGGCAACAGAGCGAGACTCCATCTCAAAAAAATAAAAAATCAGGGCCAGGTGCAGTGGCTCACGCCTGTAATCCCAGCACACTGGGATGCTGAGGCGGGCAGATCACGAGGTCAGGAGTTCAAGACCAGGCTGGCCAACATGGTGAAACGCTGTCTCTACTGAAAAATACAAAAGTTAGCTGGGCATGGTGGCTCGTGCCTATAATCCCAGCTACTTGGGAGGCTGAGGTAGGAGAATTGCTTGAACCAGGACCCAGGAGGCGGAGGTTGCAGTGAGCCGAGATCGCGCCACTACACTCCAGCCTGGGCTACAGAGTGAGACTCCACCTCAAAAAATAAATAAATAAAAAAAAATTAAAAGTAGGCCGGGCGTGATGGCTCACACCTATAATCCCAGCACTTTGGGAGGCCGAGTCGGGTGAATCATGAGGTCAAGAGATTGAGACCATCCTGGCCAACATGGTGAAATCCTGTCTCAACTAAAAAAATAAAAAAATTAGCTGGGCATGGTGGTGCACACCTGTAGTCTCAGCTACTCAGGAGGCTGAGGCAGAAGAATTGCTTGAAGCAGGGAGCCAGAGGTTGCAGTGAGCCAAGATTGTGCCACTGCACTTCAGCCTGGGTGACAGAGTGGTACTCTGTCTCAAAAAAAAAAAAAAAAAAAGGCTTTTTTAGCAGTTATATATCTTAGAATGAATTTTATTTGGAAGAAATATTTAATATTTTTCTCTTTGATAAAAGGTCTTGCTCTGTTACCAAGCCTGGTGTGCAGTGGAGCAATAACAATTCAATGCAGCCAGGAGGCAAGAGACTGCAGTGAGCTGAGATCATGCCACTGCACTCCAGCCTGGGCAACAGAGTGAGACATAATCTCAAAAGGAAAAAAGAAAAAGAAGTTGAGAACTGAGTGTAAAAGCACATTAACACAGTGGGCAGTGAGAACAGGCAGCAGCCAATCCTCAAATGGTCACTTTCCAATACCGAGTGCATTTCATTCTTGGTAGTACTGCATAATGTAATTTCAGTCAGTAAGATGGTCTTCCATTCTTGTGATAAGTGAAGAAGAGAAGTCTCATTTTAGGATCCTAGCTGCTTTGTCACGTCATTTGAGCTGCTGGTACTTGCAAGGGTGATGTGTGTGGGCCTGCGATTCAGTGGTCAGCGACACTCCAGCTTTCCCTGAACTGAAGGAGGTAACAAGACACATGACTATGGTTTGTCCTCAGAGATCTTGTTTACTGCCTTTCTCTTTAGAGCCCTGCGCTGGGTTACACCTCAGATGCTGTGTGTCCCTGTGAATGAAGACGTTCCAGAAGTATCTGATATGGTGGTAAAGGCAATCACAGGTCAGTGAAACCAAGAGCCTTTTCATTGGGATGTTTTCCCCTTAAGGCTAACATTTTGCTATAATATTAGTCTATACATTTCTAAAATGCAGATTGTCGAAGGTACATTGAAATTGGTAAAAGTGATTTGTAAGATTGTTAGTTTTATGAATTTGATGGCATTCAGAATAGCAGGTTAACTCTTCTTCCTTTATTTTCAGGGATTGTAGAATAAATTTTTTCCCTTTTTTTTTGTACTACTTTTTTTTTTTTAATGAAAAATATTTAATCTTCAAATTAAAATTATAAAAGTTCATTTTAAGCTGTTTTAAGAAAGCAAAAGAAATATGTCTATATTTTCCCAAAAAATTAAAGTGATATTTCCCCTCCTCTCAACTACTTATATAAGAAGGTTAACAACCCTTTTAATCTTTAAACCCAAGTTAGTTTGAGGAACATTTCAAAAAATTGTTTTGGTGACAACATCTCAACAGAAAGCCTCTTCATTTATATTTCAAAAGTTTCAAATAGTGTCAACAAACTGACTAGTACGAAAAAATATACACTGTATTTTTAAAGGCCTTTTGGGTTGTTTAGTAGTAAGCAGGCTGCTGGTGTATCTTGGGAGAGGTCAAAATGGCGCTGGGGAAGGGGAAAAGGAGCTCGCTTTCCATTCCTGTGTGCATGCAACAAGCAGCAAAACAGCAAAGTTACTCCAGTTAGCTTGTACTCAGTTGTGCTTTCTGCCAGCAGAAGATCCATTTAATGAATTCTGAAGACTTGGAATATTTGAACCTAGGGAAGGATTTGAGTTTCCCTGCTGAGAACTCCCATTGACTGGGCTCCCATTACCTTTCAAAATACCAGTACACTTCCAATTGTCCATATAATTAGCTTTCCACAATCTTACACAGCCATCATCTCCTGAAGATGCTAGCACTATTCCTGTTATATTCCAACTCACTCGCCAGACCTGAGAATTATGATTATCAAACTGAGCCACTATATGGAGTTCGAATTTTGTTGGCCCACCAGAGGAAGTCAGTTCTTTCCTCACAGGCTTTAATGTAAAAATTCTCACATCTTTGGTTGCTATTGCTAGAATATGGAAAGATCTTCCCAAGTTTGGAGCAAATGCAATATCATGAACAGGATCAGTGACTGTCATAAGAGTTTCAGCTTTTGCGTATTTCCTGGTGTTTTCATTATATTCAAAAATCTGAACCTTGGCCATTGCATTGGGGCTACTGTCATCGCTTCCTACAGCGATCATGGGGGAATGAGCACGAGAGCTTGAAGGGTTCCAAGAAATACAACTACAGCTTAGCTTACATGAGATCTCATGCTGCAAAGACCACTGGCTGAGATTCATAACATCTGGTGCCTCATATATTCTTACTATACCATCCGCTGAACAGGTTGCTAACATAAGACCCATGTGCTTGGGAGCAAACTTCACATCAGTAACAGATGTTCTGCTATCCACCAGAGTTGTCCTTTTAACCCAGTGGCTCTGTCCTCGCAGTTTATCATTTGATTCTCCTACTATTTCTTCCCATACAGCAGCTGTTCGGTCAAATGAACAAGAAGCCAACACCTGTCCAAATTCAGGATGGGCCCATGTTACACTCCATACAGATCCACTATGTGTCTTCCAGCTAGCAGTACAATGCCAATCACCACTTTCACTTTTATCCCAGACCTTAACGCTCTGATCGCTGGAGCAGGTAGCCATCCGCCTCCCGTGGAAATCGAAAGAGACATCGTGGATGAGATCCTTGTGGTCGGCCGCGATGCTACGCGGTACAAACATGGTTTCCGCCGGGCCCGCGCCTCCGAAGAGGGCAGTGACGGCGGCAGCGGCGGCGGCGGCGGCGCGGGGCTCCTGTACTACTTTTTTAATATAGTTTTTATTCAGCTGATTGTTTCCATGATAGAATAAGTTTCTTAAGATTCAGTTGCATTTACATATTTAAAATAATTCTGGATAGACGATGGGAACTGGTAAGGCAAGGTAGCCCTCACACTGGAGTAACATGAAAATGATGCCTCTGATTGGTCGTTAATTAGCGATGCACTGTGAATTATTTCTGGTTTGATCAGGAAGTAAATGCAGTGCCCCAAATCGAGTGGTGTTGCCGTTCTAGACAGGTCCAGCCTCCTCATAAGGTTTGTTTCTCATTCATGGGAACGACCTAGCAAAAGTATGCAATACAAAAGTTTAAATTAAAAAAAAAAAATTCTTGGCCGGGCTAACGCCTGTAATCCAAACACTTTGGAGGCCAAGGCAGGTGGATCTCCTGAGGTCGGGAGTTCAAGACCAGCCTGACCAACATGGTGAAACCCCGTCTTTTAAATAAATAAATATATCTTAATGGAGGGATGTTCAGCTTTGGCCAGTGTCTCCTTTATTAGAAAGAGGACTTGGAAAGACTTGTTTATGTAGACATTGTTAATGAAATTCTGCTGGAAAAGAAGTGGTCAACTGATACTAGCAGTGTTAGAGACTGGCCATCGAGTAGGCTTTTTTGGTTATAGGAACCAGAGATTCACTCAAGCTACAGAAAGAAACGGAAGTGTGCTTAGGCTGTTATCAGGGTTAAAAGGAGGTGGAGTCTTTCAGGACCCTAGCCCCAAGGGTCCTCTAAGGAGTGGGTTATCTCACTGCCTCTGTAGTTGCAAGAGGGTCTGCTCCAGGCATTCTCTGTTGATGTGATTCTTTGACTTTCTCAGGTTCTGCTTCTCTTTGTGTATCTTCACATGTCAACTCCTGTTATTAAGTAAATTACTGTTTTCTATGATTTCCTGAGTAAGTTCTGGAGGTAGAATCCAAGTGGCCCAGATAAACACTATTGTGGTTTTTTCTTCCAAGCTTTTCTGCTAGGCTATGGCATAGGTATCATGAATTTTGACTCCTTTGGGTCAATTCATGACCGGTCATGACTACTCCAACCCCGCGCCTTTGGCTCAGGGAACCTCATAAGAGGTTGAACGTGGAGGCCTTCTGAAAGCCTGAATATGGACCTGGGACTTGTGTTTTTCTTCACTCTTACTAGAAAGTTCAAGATCAGCTGGTTTATGGTTAGAGTGTTCCATGGGAGTTTTGTCCCAGCCAACGCCACGTAGCCTTTACGGCCTTTTGGTAATAGGGAAGTCCCTGGGCTTCCTAGCCTCTTTCACCCAGGTAGGATGGTTCACTGGAGCGTCAGCTGGTGGCGAGTGTTTGTGTGACCTATCAGTGGTGAAAGTAGAGGTGGGTGGCTCGAAGGATCAGAGAAGTATAGCTGTGTTCCACAAATAGTGGGACTCAATAGGAGAGGCATTCTTCTAGGGCAGGGCACTCATGTTCCGAGCTGACAAGTAACAAATAGGAGGCCTGTTCAAGAGAACTGCATAAAATTTAGAGAGTCATTAAGGCCTCTGCTCTGAGGTCTAACAAGTACACTCTTCAGGACTTCTGAAAGGAAGAGTGTGTCACCCCAAGAAGGGGATCAGAGAGTCCATCATCAGTTCCTCTTGGCTCCAAGAGTTCAGGACAAGGAGAGTGTCAGGGCCTGTGGCTGATGGTGGAAGTTTCCCTTTCTCTCTGTTTTGCTTTTTTAAATTTTTGTGTGTACATTAATAGGCATATATATTTATGAGTTCCATGAGCTGTTTTGATCCAGGCAGGTAATGAGTCATAATTACATTAGGGGGAATGGGGTCCATCCTGTGAAGCATTTAGCCCTTGTGCTACAGACAATCCAGTTATATTATCTTGATTACTTTTAAATGTACAATTAAATCACTTTGCCTGTAGTTCCCTTGTTGTGCTAGCAAATACTAGGTCTTATTCTTTCTAACTGTTTTGGTACCCCTTAGCCATCCCCACTATCCCCCGTGCCCCTCACTACCCTTCCCAGCCCTGGTAACCATCCTTCTGGTAAAGCATCCTTCGGTTACTTTAATTTTTTAGCTCCCACCAATGAGTAAGAACATGTGAGGATTGTCTTTCTGCGCCTGGTTTATTTTGCTTAACAAAATATCCTCTTTCATCCATGTTGTTGCAAATGACCGTATCCCATGCTTTTACATGGTTGGATAGTTCCACTGTGTATGTGTGCTGCGTTTTCTTCATCCGTTCATGTTGACAGACACCCTTTCGCATTTGGCTCTACCTGCATGACTTCTGTGTGGCTGTGGGGGCAGTGGTTCTCAGCAGGCACTAATGGTCCCTGGGGACATTTGACAACATCTGAAGATGTTTATTTTTATTTATTTATTTATTTATTTATTTATGTTTGAGACAGGAGCTCTCTGTCATCTAGGCTGGAGTGCAGTGGCATGATCATGGCTCACTGCAGCCTTGACCTCACAGGCTCAAGCGATCCTCCCACTTCAGCCTCCCTAGCAGCTGGGACCACAGGCACGTGCCACCACGCCCAGCTAATTTTTGTTTACATTCTGTAGAGACAGTTTCACCGTGTTGCCTAGGCTGTTCTTGAAGTCCTAGACTCAAGTGATCCTCCCACCTATACCTCCCAAAGTACTGGGATTACAAGTGTGAGCCCACCAAGCTGGGTCTGGAGACAATTTAAAATGTCACAGCAGTGGGGATGCTGCTAACATCTAGGGTAGAGTCCAAGGGTGCTACTCAACACTGTATAGTGCATAGGATGGTTCCCTACAGCAAAGAATTATCCAGCCCCAAATGTCCATGTTGAGAAGCCATGACCTGGAGGTATAGCCTTTGTTTTCACAACTCCATTAAAGATCATCCTGGACACCTGGACTCAACGGGGATGGTATACACACACACACAGTCAGCCCTGTGCTTCCTGCTTATAACAAGGCAGAGCCCCGGGAGAAGACATAGAGCAGTTCTCCAGGGCTCTGAAGGGTAAACCCTAGCAGGCAGGCTGGGGAGGGAAATTCTTAGACAGCAGTGAGTTTCCCGTGTGTTGCCTTCTCCTCCTGTATCTCCTAGTTGAGATTTTAAAGCAGTGCAAATGATGAAATCACACACGAGGAGTCCAAAGAGTTCCATGAAAACTTTCAGGCCAGAGAACGCTAGGAAGGGGTCGCCACAGGATAAAGCATGTGGAAGAGATCCCTGGGGGTGTTTGTCTTCCCTTATTCTCCTTTTCCTTCCCTTCTTTCCCTTTTTCCACCCCAGCCCGGCATCATGGCAATAGCAGCCACACACATATCCAGATAAAACATAATTTACTTGTACTTGCTTTCAAAATGTCAACAATAAAGATGAACAGGATGCAAGATGAAGGAACACTGAAAAATAAAGATTAACAAGAAAGTGGTTTAAAGTTTAAAAGAGAGAATAGAAATCACCAATAAAAGGTAGAAGGCTAAAGATAAATGAAGGTAGTAAAAATAGCTTAAAAAATCTTACCCAATCCAATTCTTATTTGTATTAAGTTCCATTTAAGTAGAAAAAAATAAATAGATGAAGACATGGTAACAATAATTATAACCCATAATTAAAGGAACCAAACAATAAAGTAGGCAAAAGTTATATAAGTCACACAGTAGCCTCATAAGTAAGGGAATAAAGCACTCATAAATTAAAATAAGGCCTGTGGATTTGCCCAGCACATCTGTCCCCCACACGTTGTCTTTCATGGCAGATGGGCCTAGGAAGACTGACCCTCAGGGTTGATGACCTAAGAGCAGAAAGAACCCTTTGGTATACACCACCACATGACCCAAGTCCGAAACTTTTATTCCTGCTAGTGGCAAGAATTTGGTGTAAAATTAAGCTGCCTTGGCTATTTTCTCTTATGGTGTCCCAAGTTGCTGGCAGATGTGCACCCCCAGAGGCACGCTCCCACTCCAACAGTGCTGTCACTGTGTGCCTCAGCACCCTTCCCTCTCTCCTAGGCTTGTTGGAAGAGGATACGCATTCGTGAGAGCCCATTACATGGACTTAATGGTAGCCGTGGGTAGTGAAATTTTTCTCTGGAAGAAGTAAAATGTTATTTTGAGATTAAATTTATCCTTGATATTGGCCTGGTCAACATGGCGAAACCCCATCTTTACTAAAAGTAGAAAAATTTAGCTAGGCATGGTGGCAGGCACCTGTAATCCCAGCTACTTGGAAGGCTGAGGCAGGAGAATTGCTTGAATCTGGGAGGCAGAGGTTGCAGTGAGCAGAGATCGCACCACTGCACTCCAGCCTGGGCAACAAAGAGAGAAACTCTGTCCAAAAAAAAAAAAAGTGGGCTTTACAGTCAGATAGACATGATTTCAAATTCCCACCCTGCTACCTACTGTCTGTACGATCTTGGGAAAATCATTTAACCTCTCTGTACCTCAGCCCCCTCATCCATAAAATGGATACTATTAATAGTGTCCATCACATAATCTGAGGATTAGAGAAACGTGCTTGTAAGGCACACTGTGTAGTACCTGGCTCGTGGTTCTGTTTTCTGTGAGTATGAGCTCATACTTACTGTTTTGGGAGGGTCTGAGTCATTTATACACTAAGTTAACTGCTAGAGAAGGGGTTAGGGTTTCTTTGTAACTTTAGAGATAAAAAATGATTTTCCTGTTGCTTCTTTTATATGATTTTTTTTTTAATGTGATTCTTTTCTCATGGGAAATAGTGTCTTTTCTGCTTTGTAGATATCATCGAAATGGATTCCAAGCGTGTGCCTCGAGATAAGTTGGCCTGTATCACCAAGTGCAGCAAGCACATCTTCAATGCCATTAAGATCACCAAGAACGAGCCAGCATCGGCGGATGACTTCCTCCCCACCCTCATCTACATCGTTCTGAAGGGCAACCCCCCACGCCTTCAGTCCAATATCCAGTATATCACGCGCTTCTGCAATCCAAGCCGGCTGATGACTGGAGAGGATGGCTACTATTTCACCAATCTGGTGAGTGATTTCTTGTGTGATGGAGAACTAGGGGAGGCGGTGGTTTTAGGAAGGCCACAGGTCTCTCAGGCCTATGACAAGTGAGTGAGTTCCTGTGTGATGGAGGAGAACTAGGGGAAGTGGTGATTTTAGGGAGGTCACAGGCCTCTCAGACCTATGACAAGTGAAGCCTCCTGTGTGAGAAGGCAGTGTGGCTGAAGAAGCTCACTTTCTGTCACAGAGCACAAGGACCATACCATACAGACACTCCACCTCCCAGCACTTGATCAGAGATTGTGTTCATCCTGTAGGAAACAGATGACATGTGTTGGGCATCACTCCCCAGGGTCCTGGGAAGAGTCCTTTTCTTGCCTGGGCTTTTTCAACCATAAATAAGGCAAATCTTGGACATTAATTCATTTTGAGAGGATTTAAGATTGATTTTTTTTGTTTGTTTTATTCCGCAAGTTACTTCTAAGAATTGAATACTGAGATTTTTTTTTTTAAAAGGTGAGTTCAGAGGATGTGAAATGATTTTCAAGGATGGTTTTGTTGCAGTGGTTATTGATTCTAGGCAAGATAGTATTTAATTATATATATATATAAAAATAAGGCTTGAGTACTTCCCCCCCTCCCTTTTTTTTTTTTGGCTGCAGGGTCTCACTCTGCCAACCAGGCTGCAGTAGAGTGGTACAGTCATAGCTCACTGCAGCCTCAACCTCCCAGGCTCAAGCAATCCTGCTACCTCAGCCTGCTCTGTAGCTGGTACCACAGGCATGTACCACTACACAGGCTAATCTTTTTTTGAGAGAGAGATGGGGTCTTGCTATGTTGCCCAGGCTGGTCTCATACTCTTGGGCTCAAGCAGTCCTGCTACCTTGACCTCCCTAAGAGCTGGAATTGCAGGCATGAACCACCGTTTCTGACCTGAATACTTCCTTTTTCTTCCTGCTAAACTCTGCTTGTTTGCTTTCAACTGAATGTACTGTGAAGCTAATGAATTTGGAGCCTTGGAGCAGCTTATTGACGTGGTTTTCTGTGCTGAGAGCCTGGTAACTAAGAGGTGGGGAGGGGAAGCCAGGATGCATAGGGAGCATTTCTGATAAATTACCTAAAAAGATCTCAAAAAAGGTACTTGAATCTCCATGACTCTAGAAATATGTTGTGATTTATTTCTATATTCTAGGTATGTGTTTGCCACTTTTTTTCCTTTTCTTGTAAGTAGGTTCCTAGAATTGTATAAGCAGCCTCAGGTTTCCTCCAAACCTGGACCTGCCCCGTCACTCGTCACCCTTCACAATTGTGTTTAGCTGCGTGTTGCTGTCATCACCAGCATCTTGAGAGTGTGGTTTGCAGGTGGAGGAACTTGGGAATGCTCTTGATCAAAATGATGCTTGCTCCCTTATTCACAGTGTTTTCTGTCCTCCCAGGCACATTGAGATTTAAACTGTAGTACTGAAAAAAAGTTTCAGTAGCCCAAATAGAATGAGATTAGAAGTACTCCTATATCTTTTTTTTTTTTTTTTTTTTTGAGATGGGGTCTCACTCTGTCACCCAGGCTGGAATGCAGTGGTGTGATCTCAGCCCACTGCAACCTCCACTTCCTGGGTTCAAGCGATTCGTGTGCCTCAGCCTCTCAAGTAGTTGGGATTACAGGCATGTGCCACCACGCCCAGCTAATGTTTGTATTTTTAGTAGAGACAGTGTTTCACCTTGTTGGCCAGGCTGGTCTTGAACTCCTCTCAAACCACACTCCCAAGGTGCTCAAGCAATACACCCACTTCAGTTTCCCACAGTGCTGGGATTACAGACATGAGCCACTGCATCTGGCCTCATATTTATTAATATAAATGAAACATACACTTGCCTGTAAAGGAAGAGCCTTTTGAATTCAGCTCTTTATCCAGAGCAGGTCAGACAGTCTGGAAGTCTGAGAAGTATGAACGTGGAGACATGGTAGGTCCTGGGAGAAGTGAAGGAGGACCAGGATGTGTGTGAGCAGAGCCACTGTTGCCAACAGTAGAGGCGGCTGGCTCACATACTCAGCAGCTTCTAGTGCCCTTGGCCTGCAGCCTTAAGTATGTTTGTACCTTCCCTCTGTATCCTCTTCCTGCCTGACTCAGAGTCTGTCTCCCACACCCACTGCTCCATTGAAACTGCTCTGGCAAAAGTACAGTCTGCCAGCTGCCAGACCCCACGGGTACTCACAGTCTTCATCTTACTTCACTTCTCATAGCACTCTCAATTGTTCCTTTCTTCTGCAACTTCTGTTGTTCCTTCGCTTCCACAATTCCACTACTTCTTATCTCTTTGTAAAGTCTGTGTCTCCTACTTCCACCTTGAATCGTGTCATTCCCTGGGACCCCATACTCTCTGCATCTCTTCCTGCACCATCTGCTCTGTTACAGAGCTGTCACTCACCTGTGCAGTGATGACTCACAGCTCTGTGTCACCTCTCTTGACCTCACACTTGTATTGCACCTCAAATACAATTTATTCAGAGCTAATTCCCCTTCCAATGTTTGTTTCTTTTCCAGTATTCCCTGTTCCTGTTAGTGGCAATGGCATGTCTCCATTCACCTAAGCGAGGAGTTAGAATCACCTCCTTTTTCCAGGTCACAGAGGGGCCACAGCAACTCCACACACACCCTGAGCCAGATGGGCATGTGCTTCCATTCTCCTCAGATGAATCAGTTTTTCCTTTTTCTTTTTTTGTTTTTTTTCCTAGAGATGGGGTTTCTACCTCAACTGTTGCCCAGGCTGGTCTCGAACTCCTGGCCTCAAGCAGTCCTCCCACCTCGGCCTCCCAAAGTGCTGGGATTACAAGCATGAGCCAACTCGCCTGGCTCAGATGTCTCTTGAATTGGGCCTTTGCAGTGGTATTTCTATACCAATAATTGCTACCATGTATTCATTGCTCACTGCAGGGCTCTTGGAAGCACGTGGCATGTGCTGTGTTGTTTAATTCTCACAATAAATCTGGGTGGTATTTCCCCCCATTTACAGGTGCAGAAACCTCAGAGACCTTAAGTAACTTTCCCAGGGTCACTCACTGTTGCTGTTAAGTCAAAGAGGTGACAGTTAACTCAGATTCTGTCATTTCAGAGCCGTTCTTGTTTTCTGTTTGTTTTTGAGATGGTGTCTCACTCTGTTGCCAGGCTGGAGTGCAGTGGCGCAATTTCGGCTCACTGCAACCTCCACCTCCCGGGTTCAGGTGATTCTCTTGCCTCAGCCTTCCAAGTACCTGGGACTATAGGCGGCCACCACCATGCCCGACTAATTTTTATATTTTTAGTAGAGACAGGGTTTCACCGTGTTGGCCAGGATCGTCTCCATCTCTTAACCTTGTGATCCACCCGCCCCGGCCTTCCAAAGTGCTGAGATTACAGGCATGAGCCACCGCACCCCGCCCAGAGCTGTTCTTTTAACCACTTGATGTTAAAATATTTCTTTGAGGGCCGGGCGCGGTGGCTCAAGCCTATAATCCCAGCACTTTGGGAGGCCGAGGCGGGTGGATCATGAGGTCAAGAGATCGAGACCATCCTGGTCAACATGGTGAAACCCCGTCTCTACTAAAAATACAAAAAATTAGCTGGGCATGGTGGCGCGTGCCTGTAATCCCAGCTACTCAGGAGGCTGAGGCAGGAGAATTGCCTGAACCCAGGAGGCGGAGGTTGCGGTGAGCCGAGATCCCACCATTGCACTCCAGCCTGGGTAACATGAGTGAAACTCCGTCTCAAAAAAAAAAAAAAAAAAAAAAAAAAATTTCTTTGAGGATCAGAGGTCCGTGTGTCACACCAGTGTCTTGAGGACCCATGCTCACTTGGGGCTTGCATCCTGGGTAGGGATAGCAGGCCTGGGAAGACGCAAACAGAATGGCTTTATGCAGAATGGCTTTGTGGTGCACCAGGGGAGGCTGCACCGAGACACTGACTCCGGAGCTCCTGGGAGTGTACAGGAAGCATGATCGGGTATAGGAGTAGGTAATTTTTGACACTGGAGTACCTGGAAGTTCATTAGTTTGTTTTGTTTACTTTTGCTTCTATTTTAAATTCTCTGTGATAAAAAGATTTTTACAAATCGATTCGAGTATGTGTAGCTTTCCTAATACCACTGTATTAACGTCCTCTTCTTATAGTGCTGTGCTGTGGCTTTTATTGAGAAGTTAGATGCCCAGTCTTTGAATTTAAGTCAGGAGGATTTTGATCGCTATATGTCTGGCCAGACCTCTCCCAGGAAGCAAGAAGCTGAGAGTTGGTCTCCTGATGCTTGCTTAGGTGTCAAGCAAATGTACAAGAACTTGGATCTCCTGTCTCAGTTGAATGAACGACAAGAAAGGATCATGAATGAAGCCAAGAAACTTGAAAAAGACCTAATAGATTGGACAGATGGAATTGCAAGGGAAGTTCAAGACATTGTTGAGAAATACCCGCTGGAAATAAAGCCTCCGAATCAACCATTAGCTGCTATTGACTCTGAAAACGTTGAAAATGATAAACTTCCTCCACCACTGCAACCTCAAGTTTATGCGGGATGATCACAATTTACGTGGAGAGTATTTATTTGAGCCTAAATTGTAGGTAGCCCTTACTACTTTCAGCTGATTGGGATCTAGAATATAACTAAATTGCTTATAAATATCAGAGCATTTTTAAAGGTACAGTGGATGGGGATTGCTTTTATTGTTTTTCCTAGCAGGGGAAGCTTAGTTAATAATAAAATACTATTTATTTGAGTTACTGATACAGATTCACATAAGACTTGTGTGCAAATTTTGTCTCAATCTTTTTTTCCCCTCCATGATTTTCCTATATGCTTCCTCTGTGGTTTGGTTTTGGTAAATAATTGCCTTTTAAAGTATAAAACAAATGAATGCTACAAAGTGTATGTTTAAGGAAATTCAATGGTACCACTCTTCCACAGTTTGAAATAATTTTATAATTGTAAAGATAGAAATTATATTGATAATATGTAAAATTGTAAATATGTTAAAAAAAAAAAACAAGGAATGGTGTCTGCTGTGCATGGCATTTTATATGTTAATTTTTTAGTTTAAAATGAAGTATATTGAATGTTTGCCTTTAGCACCATTTTATTTGGTTTGTCCCACTAAAATGACTCGAGAAGTGTTTAAACAAACTTTCCTGAAGATGTGCACTCCATCTTTAACAACATGTTAGCCCTAACTTTGAGGTTCTATATCGTCAGAGACTATGACACCACTAAGTTTCAGAATAAATTTTAGGCCACATAAAATAGTTGTTTCATGTAGTCGATAGGAGACTTTAAACCATGGTTTTAGCTTATTTTCCCCTTATTCATTCAGCAAATCTCTATTGGATTGTTTGGTGTGAAGGAGCAGGCCCTGGGTCTGGAATGGAAGGCAGGAATTAACAGGCCACTGATGGTGGTAGGTGACGGGTCCCTTAGCTATAAGATGCAGGGGGCGTCTTGCAGCCTCCACAATGTACTTTTGACTTTATGGGCAGGCCAGATACGTTTTCTGATCCTCTTTCAGGACATTTCAACCTCAGGACTGTTAACATTAGTGGCCTGAGAGGTGTTTGTTGTGAGGGTCCACCCTGTGCATGGTAGAATGTTCAGCAGCATTCCTGCTCACCATACCTGCTAGACGCCAGTAGCACCCCACAGAGCTGTGAAAAATTCTCTCCAGACAGTCAGATGTCTCCTGGGGCCATATCTCCCCCCACCCCCGCTCCCGTAAGAACCACTGATGTGTTGTACAAACCAGGAGGTACCCTCCTGGTGGTTAATACGGTGTAACCAAAGAATCTTGCACTCAATGCACAGTGTGATGTTAACTAAATGAGTAAAATAGGAGGCTGGACAGCTACCTGCGTTGTAGAACCTCTTCTCATGGCAGTGGAACCTTCCATAACCTACATGTACCACTGATGATTTTTCTTCCACTCAGTGACTTCCACAGATTGTGCAAGTATACTTGTGAAATCGTGCATGAGGGAGGCCCCAGGGCACTGTTTTCGGGAACAGCATCACTTCACACAAGCAGCTGGGAAGGATTCTCTTGCTTTTCCATTATCTTCCTAAGAATGGAGCCCAAAATTGCAGAGCAGTAATTTTGGAATAAAATCAAGATGGATATAAAACTTCTTATTCTTAAATTTACATGTAAGATCTATGAAGCCTGACACATCTGTGTCATCATGCACTGAAGACGGGAAGCAGTTCACTGAGTCAGCTGGTTCGCAGGCTTGCATAGAAGGTGATGAGTTACTACCAAAAGCCAGTGAGAATCTTCTCATAGAATAACCTGGGTCCAAGTGATGTTAGTAGAAAAGTTCCTTGTCTTTGTTTTAATTTTCTATGTGCTTTTTAGGTGCGAATCCAGATATGTAGTCTTAATTCCCCTGGAAAATACACAGTTCTTTTAGTTATTGTACATTCTGTTTGTTAAATAAACTGCAAATCAACTTCCCACAAAAGCTGACTTCTTTGGGTCTCTTAACATATCTTTAAAGTAGATCATTGAATTGATTTTTTGGTAGTATCTCATATTGGTCAAATTCTTCAGGTATGGACTCTCGCCTTATAGGCTTCTGTTTCTCTTAAGTCAGCATCAATACAATGGCCAGAGTTTCTGTTTTTGCAACAAGAAGGTGTTGGTATTTTATGTATGGTAAATGTGATTGGAATAAACCTTTGGACAGAAGTCTTTATCAATAAAGTTTCGCAATCCATCCCTCTTCCAAAAATTGATTTGGTTCTTTCTTAGGAAAATATACATTATTATTAATATTCTTTCTTTCTTTCTTTTTTTTTTTTTTTTGAGACGGAGTTTCACTCATGTTACCCAGGCTAGAGTGCAATGGCGCGATCTCGGCTCACCGCAACCTCCGCCTCCTGGGTTCAGGCAATTCTCCTGCCTCAGCCTCCTGAGTAGCTGGGATTACAGGCACGCGCCACCATGCCCAGCTAATTTTTTGTATTTTTAGTAGAGAGGGGGTTTCACCATGTTGACCAGGATGGTCTCGATCTCTTGACCTCGTGATCCACCCGCCTTGGCCTCCCAAAGTGCTGGGATTACAGGCTTGAGCCACTGCGCCCGGCTATTATTAATATTCTATGCTATAAAGGTTTTCTGGTTAAGCTACAGCCATCATCATACCTAAAAATGAAACATTAGAGACATTTGCCAGCTTTAGAAGACAAGAATATTTGCTGTCACCACAATTAACATTGTTCTGGTAGTTCTACCAAGGTACTCGGTCTTCAAAAAGAAGTAAAAATAGAGAAAAGATGAGTTAACGTAATCAATATAGAGCTATTATTGTCTTGTGGTAGGGGCATGAACTCTGGAGCTGGAAGGCTTGGATTTGGTTTTGAATTTTGATTCTGCTACTTTTTTTTTTTTTTTTTTTTTTTTTTTAAAGACGGGGTTTCACTATGTTAGGCTGGTCTTGAATTCCCAACCTCAGGTGATCCACCTGCCTTGGCCTCCAAAGTGCTTGGATTACAGGTGTGAGCCACCACGCCCAGCCTGCTACTTTTTTTTTGAGACAGAGTTTCACTTTTGTTGCTCAGGCTTGAGTGCAATGGTTTAATCTCGGCTCACCTCAACCTCCGTCTCCCAGGTTCAATTGATTCTCCTGCCTCAGCCTCCCGAGTAGCTGGGATTACAGATATGCACCACTGTGCCTTGGCTACTTTTTTGTACTTTTAGTAGAGATGGGGTTTCTCTATGTTGGTCAGGGTGGTCTTGAACTCCCGACCTCGGGTGATCCACCCACCTTGGCCTCCCAAAGTACTGGGATTACAGGTGTGAGCCACTGCGCCCGGCCTTGGCTACTTATTTAGTTCATTGGCCCTTAACAAATCTCATGTTTCAGATCCTGCAGCTGTGAAATGGGGATAATATTACTGCTTCATGGAATTTTTCTCTGAACTTAGAACAAATGACAGCTATTATTTGTAGATGGTTATTTTATGTAGAAAAACCCAAGAGAAGGCTGGGTGTGGTGGCTAACACCTGTAATCACTTTGGAGGGCAAGGCTTGAGGCCAGGAGTTCGAGAGCAATCTCAGCAACATAGAACCCTATATCTACAAAAAATAAAACACTAGCCGGGTGTCGTGGCTCACCCCTGTAATCCAAGCACTTTGGAGGCCAAGGCGGGTGGATCACCTGAGGTCGGGAGTTCAAGACCAGCCTGACCAACATGGTGAAACCCCGTCTTTAAAAAAAAATAAAAAATAAAACACTAGCTGGACATGGTGGTATGCACCTGTAGTCTCAGCTACTGGGAAGGCTAAGGTGAGAAGATCACCTAAGCCAGGAATTTGAGGTTGTAGTGAGCTGTGATCTCACCACTGCATGGCAGCCTGAGTAAGACCCTGTCTTTAAAAAAAAACAAAAAAAAAGGGAAAACCTAAGAAAATTTATATTAACTATAGAGTTTCATCTCTATGTTAGAGATGAAATTCTACAAGAGTGATAAAAACTAGCTGGGTGCAATGGCTCACACCTGTAATCCCAGCACTTTGGCAGGCTGAGGCGGGTGGATCATTTGAAGTCGGGAGTTTGAGACCAGCCTGACCAACATGGAGAAACCCCCATCTCTACTAAAAACACAAAATTAGCTGGGCATGGTGGCACATGCCTGTAATCCCAGCTACCTGGAGAGCTTGAACCCGGAGGCGGAGGTTGCAGTGAGCCAAGATTGCACTATTGCATTCCAACCTGGGCGAGAAGAGCAAAAACTCTGTCTCAAAAAAAAAAAAAACTTAACTGTACAAAATGACTTTCCTATATACCAGTGCTAACCAGTTAGCAAATATTATGGGGAAAAATTAATTTACAATTGGAAACAAATATAAATCACCTATAGAGAACATGGCTTTCAGGATCTATATGAGAAACAGAAGACAGAGAAACACAAAGGTATGGTTGCAGAGGGCCCTATGCTTGGACTTCAGGGCTCCGTTGCTGCCGTCTTGAAATTTTTTTTTTTTTTTGAGATAGGGTCTTGCTCTGTCACCCAGGTTGGAGTGCAGTGGTGCTCGCATTACTTACTGCAGCCTCAACCTCCTGGGCCTAAGCTGTCCTGTCTCAACCACCTGAGTAGCTGGGACCACACCTGTGCTCCCCTGCACCCACCTAATTTTTAAGTTTTTTATAGAGACAGCATCTCACTATGTTGTCCAGGCTGGCCTTAAACTCTTGGGCTCAAGCAGTCCTCCTACCTTGGCTTCCTAATGTGCTGGGATTACAGGCATAAGCCGCCAGGTCAGGAGTTTGAGACCCGGCTGGCCAACGTGGTAAAACGCTATCTCTACTAAAAATACAAAAATTAGTCGGGTGTGGTGGTGTATGCCTGTAATCTCAGCTGCTCAGGAGGCTGAGGCACAGGAATCACTACTTGAACAGGGAAGCGGACGTTGCAGTGAGCTGAGATCGTGCCACTGCACTCCAGCCTAGGCAACAAAGCAAGACTCCCATCTCAAAAAAAAAAAAAAATCATGTTAGAATTGCAGTGTGGGAAATAAAAATATCCTCTTCAAAGTTTCCTTTCTTGTTTAAAAAAAAATTCCTAAGTGTTGGAAATAATAGTTTGTTTTAAACACTTTCTTTAGAAGTCTTTTTGCTAGAACCCCTACACAGTGTAGCTGTTAGACATGCTTACAGGTGCATAGTACATTCTATGTCCTTGTACTTTAATGAAGATATCTGTGCTGAACGTGCTCACAGGCATGTCCCAGCTTGCAGCCTGTGCCCCTTCCTTATTTGAACTTCCCCTTTTTGCTCTCCATTGATTTTTCCTGTTTAGAAAAGTTTTAAGTTATTAGCCAATCAGGTGTTAGTTTAGATTGTGAGGTCTGGCTCCAGCCAGCGCAGATCAGACACAGCAGTAAAGACGACCCCCCCAAATGTGTAAGAAATAAATATGTCTGCTTTCCTTTGTTCATTGTACTCTCGTGGCAAGATTGCTTTGGGACCCTTTCTGCAGGAAGTAAAAAGAATTGCTTTGCTGAGAGATCCTTAGTCCCAGTACTAATTTTTCTTTGCATCGAGCATCTATTTCCAATTTCTATTTCCAACAGCAGAGACCGAAGAATGGATCTATTAACTGGGATACAGATCAATAGAAATTTCCAATGTGAGCAACAGAGAGAAAACTGAAATTTTAAAATGGAGGCTCAGGGACCTGTGGGATAGTTAAAAAAAAAATCTGTTATTCTTCTGGAGTCCCAGCAGGAGAGGAGAAAAATGCATATGGCTAAAAAAAAAAATTAACAGCTGAACATCTCCCCCAAAATTTCAAAGGCAGAAAGCTACAGATTTAAGAAGCTAAGTGAACCACAAACAGGATAAATAAATTATGCAAAGACATGTCACAAACCTCTCAGAATTAAAGACAAAAAAACCTTGAAAGTAGTTAAATAGCAAATGACAGATTACCTATAGTGAAACGATCGACTGATTGGTGGATAGAGTTTTTGAGACAAGGCTTCTCTGTTGCCCAGGCTGGTGTGCAATGGCACAATCATGGCTCAAGGCAGCCTGGGCTTCAGGACTCAGGTGATCCTCCCACTTCAGCCTGGGACTATGGGCATGAACCACCACCCCTGGCTAATATTTTCTGTATTTTTTATAGAAAAAATACATAAGTCTCCCTATGTTGCCCAAGCTGGTCTGGAACTCCTGACCTCAAGTGATCCTCCCTCCTCAGACTCCCAAAGTACTGGAATTACTGGAATGAGTCACCATTCCTGGCCAAAAATATCTTGAAAGTAGTAAACAGCAAATCACACATTGCTTATAGTAGAACAATGGTTTTAATGACAGTGGATTTCTCTTCAGTAACAATGGTGACCAGAAGAAAGTGAAATAACATTTTTTCAAGTGCTCAAAAAAATGCCAAAAATACCATTTAGACATGAAAATGAAATAAAGACATTCCATAGGATTTTTCACCAGTAGACCACCCCTAAAAGAATGGCTAAAGGAAGTTGTTCAACAAAAAGGTAATGATGGATGAAGGAAACTTGGACATTCCAAATGAAGAAACAAGAGAATGGGCACATGTGTGAGTAAATATAATACACTACCCTTCTGCTCTTTAGGTTTTTGGGTTTTTTTTTTTTTTTTGAAACAAGGTCTCACTCTGTCACTCAGGCTGGAGTACAGTAGTGCGATCATAGCTCATTGCCGTGTTGACCACCTGACCTCAAGGGATCCTTCCACCTCAGCCTCCTGAGTAGTTGGGAACACAGGTTCACACCACCACCCCTGACTATCTTCTTCTTATTTGTAGAGACTGTATCTCCCTATATTGCCCAGACTGGTCTCAACCTCCTGGGCTCAAGTGATCCTCTCATCTCAGCCTCCCAATGCGTTGGAAGTACAGGCACAAGCCAGTGCACTTAGCCCATATTCTCTTAATGAGAAAAAAATCATGTTACAAAGTGTTTGCTTGGTTAACAGTTTACTGAGCCTTAAACTGACAACTTCAGAGCTTAATTTTTTTGGTTATTTACCTTTCTTTTCTTTTTTTTTTTTTTTGAGATGGAGTTTCACTCTTGTCACCCAGGCTGGAGTGCGATGGTAGGATCTTGCCTCACTGCAACCTCTACCTCTCTGGTTCAAGTAATTGTCCTGTCTCAGTCTCCCAAGTAACTGGGATTACAGGTACATGCTGCCACGCCCAGATAATTCTTTATATGTTTAGGAGAGATGGATGGGGTTTCATCATTGG